TGGGCAGTGGGCATGAGCAGGCAATCTTCTCTTCCCTAAAAAATTCCCAAATTCTGCAAATTCAGCAGCAATCAAAGGACTATAGGTAAAACCAAGAAAGCAACATTACTTTCACCAATCATGTTGATAAAAATGATCTCATGGGGCGCCTGGGTGGCTCAGTTGGTTAAGCGTCTGCCTTCGGCTCAGATCATGATCCCAGGACCCTGGGATCGACCCCTGTGTCGGGCTCCCTGCTTAGTGGGGAGCTTGCTTCTCCCTCTCCCTCTGCTCTTCTCTCTCTCTCAAATAAATAAATAAAATCTTTAAAAAAACAAACAACAAAAAAGCGACCTCATACCTAGTGTGTGTTGTGGGGGTGGAGATGGGGATGGGCACTTAGTCACTAGAGAGAAGTGCTACTTTCTTTCTGGAGAGTAATTTGTCATTATGTAATAAAAGTCTTAGAACATCCTGGGCTAGTGATTTCACTTCTAGGACTCTCTCTGAAGGCAAGAGTCCTGGATGTTTGCAAAGGGAGCTTACCGAAATATATAGTAGCCAGAGAAATATTTTGAAATCAGAGATCATGCCACCTTCCTCCTAACTCCTTAAAATTCTCTAAAGCCTTCTTGTCAGGCTTAGAATAAATCCAACACTTGACTCCATTGCTTGGACCTGCCCCCACTCACTCTATCCTCACCACCTCCCCTTTGTCATGCTGCTTGTCTCCTTTCTTCCTTAAACACTCCAGGCCTGCTCCAGCCTCAGGATCTTTGCACAGCCTATTCCCTCTGCCTGGGATGCCCGTCTCCTTCAAATGTGAGCCCCATGAGGGAAGGTCTCTGTGTTATTCACTGCTGGATCCTTGGTCTGACTCCTGACATCAGCAGATGTTTATTGAATAAATGAACAGTCAAGAGCATGAGCTTTGGGGTCAGAAGCAGATGTGGGCTTGAGTTCGCCACTGATTAGCTGTGTGACGTTGAGCAAATTCCTTCACCTCTCTGAGCCTTGTGCTCTTCTGGTATGAAGTGGAAACAGAAGAACTGCCCTGCGAAGTTCTTATCAAGATCAACTATAGTAAAGCATATAATGGCTGGTGCAGAGTGAGCCCTTGAGAACTATTAGCAATAATTATGGATGTTTCTAAAGTATTATCTGTAATTGCCGTGGGTTGAGGAAACTCCTCTGGGACATCCATAGAATGCATTCATCAAAAGGATGTTGTAGAAAATAACCTGTGGACACAAAAAGGGGTTAAAGGTTTACCATTTACTCACTTCTTTCATCATTATGGGCATATATAATGCATGCTCAAAAAAATGCAAGCAACTGATAAAGTGAAAGTTTTCTCCATCGTATGTTTCTCATCCAAAGCTCATGCTATATTAAATGGGAAAGACGGGTAAAAAAACAACATGCCTGGTATGAACTCACTTTTTAAACATAAACTATGTTAATATATACTCATAAGGGGAAGGCTGTGGGTTTACATTCAAATGTTAGGGCTGTTTGGCGGGAGAGTAGAAATTGTTGGCATAGTTCGTTGTCATCTTTGCCTTTTCTATGGTTTCCTGATTGTCCTCGATGGCTTTGTATTACCTTTTGCAACCTGGAAAAGCCAGGGAACAGTTAACTGAGCCTCCCCAACTCCCCACACCTGCCACCATCTGGCTCCTTGATTTCCAGGGCCTCGTGGGAAGACTCAGGTGCCCCATGTTGTCTTAGGCAGCATTACTGAGGCTGGGGGGTTGTGTCAGGGACCCGAGAGAGAGGCCTGGTTCTCAGTAAACATTCAAGGGTTGAAGAGATGCGTGCCTTGTGGTCATGGGGTTTGGCGTTATCCTGTGAAGAGTCCTAGGTGGGCAAAAAGAAGGCGTTAAGCTAAGCACAAGTTTGGAACCCTGGGCATCAGTCAGGACAAAAATCTAAGAAGCCAAGACCCAAACCAATAACAGCCCACGCTGGCTTAGGAAATAAAGGGAGTTTATTGGTACATGACACTGAAAGCCTAGGGCCCTAGAGCTTCAGGCATTGCTGGATCCAGGTACTCCAATGGTGCCTTCCAGAATCTTCAAGGCTCTGTTTCCCTCTGTGCTGTCTCTGCTCTGAGGCAGGCTGTCTACACGTGGTGTCAGGATAACCCACTGGCTCCTGCTCCAGTAGTTCAGCAGTCTTTGCAGGCACAGGGCTTCTCTCTCCCAGGGACTCCAGAAGAAGTCCTAGGGAGGCCCTGATTGGCCCGGCATGGGTTTTCTGCCCACCTCTGAACCCTGAGCTGGGGTGCTGATTGGCTAGTCCTGGGTCACAAGATCATCTGGCCACCAAAGGAATGGGGTCAGCTCTACCAGAATCCGAGGCCTGAGAGGGAGGGAGGGGTTGTTCCCACAGGACAATGGGGGGGCTATTTGCAGAGGGCAGAGCTCTTCTCCACGATCTGTGCTCTGTGAAGCACAGACATGCCCTTTATCAGGAAGGCAGGATTAATCACAGCACCCTGCCCTCAGCTCTCCAAAGAGCAGAAGAGGGAGGTTCCCATGTGGGGATGGGGGTGGGGCGGGGAGGGGAGTAAAAGACTTCGGGGTGGGGGGGGTTGGGGGGGAGGGGAGAAGGGGGTGGAAGAGAGCCCTGCCTAAGACCAGAAGACTGTTTCAGGGTCAGCAAGGGACTGACCTCAGTCAGTCAGACTGACCCTTCCAGACCTCAGTATCCACATCTGTACAGAGAGGTTGATCTGACTGGAGCTGGCGGGTTTTAGGATGGTGCTGTGTGTTTTTGATGAAATGATTGGGGTATAGCTGCCTCTCCCTTTCCAGTGACTCGGAATGATTTCTTAATGGAATTCAGTTTATTGCTGTGATCCATGCTGACAGGGGACTGATACTGTTTTTTCCAGGAGGGGCCTTTTAGCCTGGCTGGAAATGAAGGGGGGTTTGGAGGCTATTTCTGGCAGATGGAGGTGGGTGAACAGTGTGGGGGTGGGAGGTGTCAGGGGCCCCTGGGGGGAAACCTGAGTCAGGGTCTGGGAAGAAGGGCTGGTGCCGAGGGCGAGGGCGAGGAGGGGCTCGGCAGCTGGGAGGGGAGCTGGTGGGACAGGAATGTCCCTCCTCCTGACACCTGTCCCCAGGCTCCTCGACCTTTGACCACATCCCACAAACACTCCCGGGGAGAAAGGCCAGGAGGTAAGCCTCAGTGCAGTCAGGTACATCCACACCTAAAATAGAGGTATTAGTAACAAACTGTTTAGAGTCTGACACGGGCCAGGGACTGTTCCAAGTGTTCACAAGGCTTCACTCGGTCAAGCCTCCCAAGCGTATGAGCTACACATGCTCTTAGCCCCATTCGACAGATGGGGAATCTGGGCTCAGAGACATGAAGTGCCCTGCTCAAGGACACACAGCTCCTGAGCAGTGGGGCCCCTGGGTGCTGTAAGGATGGGCGGGCTACCACTTGCAATGACATGGGTGGCGATAGAGTGTATTATGCTAAGTGAAATAAGTCAGTCAGAGAAAGACAAATACCATATGATCTCACTCATATGTGGAATTTGAGAAAGAAAACAGATGAACATATGGGAAGGGGGAAAAGAAAAAAAGGAGAGAGGGAAACAAGCCATAAGAGACTCTTAACAACAGAGAACAAACTGAGGGTTGCTGGAGGAGAGGGAGGTGGGGGATGGGCTAGGTGGGGGATGGGCTAGATGGGTGATGGGCATTAAGGAGGGCACTTGTTGGGATGAACACTGGGTGTTGTGTGTAAGTGATAAATCACTGAATTCTACTCCTGAAACCAATATTGCACTGTATGTTAACTAACTAGAATTTAAATTAAAAAAGAAAAAAAAAAGGATGGGTAGGCTAGGCTTGGAGACAAGGAATGGTCAGGACATGAGTGCTGGGTGAGCCAGAGGAGGAAGGAAACTCAACTATCTTGAGGAGGGAGGGTGGGAATCTGGAAAAGGCAAGCCTTCATCTGGGCCTTGAAGGATCAACACAATTGAGACAGCATGAAATGTGCAGGGAAGGGTTTTCCGGTAGGAGGGAACAGCATAAACCGAGGCATAGAGGCAAGCCAGGGCAGGGGACATTTGGGACAGGGCAAGCAGCCTGGCAGGGGTCTCTACCAGTGCTTTGTGGGTCACAAGGCACTTTCTGCCCTGAAAGTGCCTTGAGGCCTGGAATCTCCAGCATTTTCTGGGAGGGCCGAGGGGTGGCTGACCCCTACCCTCTCTTGTGGTTTCACGAGTTGGAGGGTAAAGCGTGGCAGCCTTGGGCCCCAGAGGCAGGACTGGACATCGTGGAGGCACAGAGAGCCCTGTTCCTCTCGGACCTACGTGGAGGAGTCCACTGCAGTCTGGGAGGCTGTGGATGGACAGGAAGCTGGCCATTCCTTCCCGTGAGCCAGAGAATGGCCTCTGTGTGAGCCACAACAAAAAGGCTTTTCTGCCAAGTCGGAGGGGGAGGAAGCGGCCAGCTTGGCCCCTGCCCCAGCCTGAAAGGGGGCTCTGTTGGTGTCCCTGGGGTCTTCAGCGCCTAGAATGTGTGGGGAGGGAAGACCAGGGTGGGCAGGGGCCTCCTCATCGCTGTCTCTATTCTCCAGCAACACCAGGGTAAGCTGGGGCTAAGCTGCTGTGCCAGTCAGTCTGTCTGGGTTCTTCTCCCAGCGTGGCCGTGTCCTGGCCGTGTGACCTTGGCCAAGTCACTTGAGCTCGCTGAGCCCCACTTTTCTCATGAATAAAATGTAAGCCGAGGAGTGTGCAAGTCGACACTGAGCACTTGCCATGTGCCAGGCACCGTGGTGGCCGGCGCTGTACGGTCGCCCATCCTCCGTTCACCCCCCCAGCGGCCCGTGCAGCAGGTCGCGTTACCCCCTCCGTGGCGATGTAAGCACCCAGGGCGTCGGGCCGAAGCCCAGGATGTTTTAGACTCTAAAACTCCAAGCTGTGCAAATGCGAGGGAAAAAAGGCTGGAAGAAACACACCAAACCGTCAACACTGGCCTGCGGAGAGATGACTTAGATTTTGCTGCTTTTTGTGTATCTATTAAGTCTTAATTATCTTACTTAGGAATTAGCAAGACAGGTGCTGTGGGGCCCATGGTGAGTTTAGGTGCAGCCACATTAAACAAAACCAATTTAAAGATGCAGGTTCCTGTTAATCCTGGGGGAGGGGGAGGGGGAGCGGGTGTCAAGTTGTGAGGCAGGGCTGAGGCCTGACACCATACCTCAGAGACCTTCACACCCATGGGCTCACCAGATGAGCTGTTCCTTCAGCCACGGGGTTGTTTTGAGATTTTACCAGAGCGTTTGGGGTAGAAGTCTCCTCAGGAGATTTCCTGAGAAGCCGAGGCCTCCTCTGCCAAGTCTCTTCCCTGGCCTGGGTTCTAAGGAAGAGCTCGGTGAGAGGTCTCGCGTCCTCTCCTTTTTCGTCCCTGTGCCCCCACTTGCCGGTGACCGCTGGCCTTCAAGCAGAAGGCAGACCTGGGCAGGGCCCTGTGGCTTCTGCCACAAGAAAGCTGATAAGATGCTGCCCGCCAAGGCCCCTGTGGTGGGGATGGTTCAGGGGCCATTTCCTAGCTGAGCCGGAGAGGCCTTTGGGGCTTTCTCAGCCAGTTTTCAACACAAAGAGAGGAAGGGTGGGATCGAGGGGGGCGGGGAGGAGGTCTGCTGCTGAGGGGAGGGTGGGGCCTGGAACAGGTTGAAGGACCCTGCCCCAGCTATTGTGGAGGCCTGGCCTGCTCCATGGTTGGGGTGCAACCCCACTACAGCAGACCATTGCATTTCTGGGGGTGCAGGCCAGTGCCCAGTAGCGTGGCCCAGAGGATGGATGTGGGGTCCAAGGCTTGCCAGCCATGCCCAGACCCCAGGGGCAGTAAAGCTTCAGTCTCGTACTCTCTTGGGCCTCGTCTGCAGGCTGCCCAGGGTGAGATCTGCTTTTTCAAAGATGACAAGGCAGATCTTGGGTGCCCCACCCCACCCCCAGCCTTTGAGCGGAGCATGTGGTAAGGAGAACTTTCCAGATCCAAAGCGGTACCACTTCCCATCTCTTGCCTCCAAGCTGGGTCTTCAGGCTGCCCAGAACCCAGTCTGGATGGGTGGAAGAAAGGTGGGGGGGCGTGGCCTGGCATTCCCACCCCTCCTAGACACACACTGCGTGTGGGAAGCTGGGACGCCCTTTCTCACTGTGAATGAATGTCCAGTAAATTCTGCACTCTTTCTCTGCCCCACCCCAGCAGGGCTAACCCCAGTCCCCTGCCCAACCTGCTTCTGGTGCCCTCACTCTTCCTCTGAGCTCTGCCCCTCCCAGGGCTACTGGGAAGGAATCCCGGAGAACTGGGAACAAGGTGTCTTCCGCATGGAGGGCAAGTGCCCTAATCGCGGCCTGGACTCCTGTCACCCACAGCCCCACCGGCCCAGGGCCTCTTACAATGAGGCCACACATGCCGGCTGTACAATTTAATCAGTGCAGAGTATTTACAGAAAGAAATGTATGGGGGTGGACACTGCCCTCCACCCCCCATCCCTTGGCTGGCTCTCCGGTTCTGAGGATGGAGGGGGGAGTAAGCTGCCAGACCCGACCTCCAGGCCAGTCCATGAGATGCATCTCCCTCCAGGGGCCTTGGGGGTCTGGGTGGCAGACCCGCTTGCTCAGGGCTGAGGGGAAGCAGAGGGGATGGAGCCGGCTGTACAGTACCATTTCCACAGCAGCCTTGCCTCCTGCTTACTTTGGGAAGGAAAAGGAGGAGGAAGCGTCCCTGTCCTTAGGGCTGAGCCAAGGAGAAGGGGAGTCTCCAGGCCACAGTGGGCTCCTTTGGGGGCTCCACAGCCGCATCCCGCAAGTCTGTGTGAGGGGCTGAGCTGCTGGCCTCTCTCCACCAGTGTCCCTCCTCCCAGTGCCCTGTGGGACAGGGAGCTGGAGGGGAGGAACCCCCAAGCCGGGTGCATGGTGGGCTGTGGGCGCCCATCAGCCCCCTATCTTCCTGGGACAGCTGGGAGCCTGGCAGCTGGTGCCTGAGGCTGGTGGGGTTCTGAGACCCCTGAGGACGGTGGTGTGGGTGAGGGAGAGTGGAAGCCCAGGGAAGGAGTCCAGATGGGTCATAGCTCAGAGAGGAGTGGACAGGGGCTGGAAGCCCAGCCTGGGGGGGGGGGGTGAGGCCTCTGGGTGGAGGGGCCTTGGCAGACCCCATTTGGTCCTTGGTAAGGCAGGCCCAGGGCCTCTTCTGCAGAGAGGGGAGGAGGTGCAGGCTCAAGGGGTATGTGGGAGCTGGGGAGTATGGGCCCCTCGGCTGGCCAGGGCCAGGGTAGGCGTTGGTAATGGGTTGACAGGGGTAGGCGAGGAAGGAATCAAAACTCCACAGGACTCAGGGCCAGTAGGCCACCTCACCCTTCTGTACCCTGTGGCCAGGGGCTGCCCCTGGGTGAAAACTCTTCTAAGGCAGAGATTCAGGTGGGTGGAGACCAGTCAGGCCCCACCCGTCTCCAAAGCCAGCCCAGGCTGAGGAGGGCCCAGGGCGGGAAGGAGCCTCAGAAACCCTTTAGCCACTTTCCAGCTGGCCTTCTGACCCTCTGCTCCTCTGGCTGTCGCCAAGCCAGAGGTGTGGGGGGGTGGGGGGTGGGGGGCGAGGGGCTCACTCCCTGTCCGGAGCAGGACTCCATTTAGAAAGCTCTAACCCCTGCCCGGAGGGACCGCTGCTCCTGGTCAGCAAAGTAGAAACGAATACTCAATTAGTGTGCAAAATCAAAACAAAACAAACCACAAACCACCAACAACAAAACCTGGGCATAAATAAACAACGGGGCGGGGCCGGCGGAGGGAGCCCTGGAAGGCTGCGGCTCGCGGCCCAGCGGCCCCGCCCCCGCAGCGCGGAGGGGGCAGGCGGGCGGGGCGCGGCGCGTCAGACCCACTCCTGCAGGGAGCGCTTGCAGTAGAGGAGCGCGCGCGGCGCGCCCTTGCGCTGCATCCGCACCAGGGCGTAGCTGAGGCCCAGGACAGACAGGAGCAGCAGCAGCGGCGGCACCAGCACCAGCACCACGCTCACCGTCCGCGGCACGTCCTCCATCTGCACCACCACGCGGCTGCCCCCGTCCTCGCCTGTCCCCTCCCCGCCGCCCGCGCCGGCCTCACGGCCCTCCTCGCCCTCCTCGTCGGCCCCGCCCGCCCCGGGCTCTGCACCCCCGTCGGGGTTGAAGGGCGGACGGGCCACATCGGGCCATCGGGGTCCCGGCTCCACGTGCTCTTGGCAGCCCATGAAGTCCCGCAGGATGGATTTGGGGTAGCCCGGCTCCATCCGCAGGCGCTCGTTGTCGAACTTCCAGTACTTGGTGCCCTTGTAGAAGTATGTGTAGGCTGCGGGGGGGGGGGGGGGGCAAGCGGGGATGAGTGGTGTCAGGCCGCGCCCCACCCACCCGCGCGAGACCCTCAAAGAAGACCAGGACATGCTGAAGGCGCCCCGGCTTTAAAGTACCCCCCTCCTCACTTGCTGGCCTGACTACTTTCAAATCTGCCCCCTCCCAACATACAGAAGCCAGACCGGGCTCAGAGACGGGCGGGTTTGGGTCAAGGGCCTGACTATGCTTCGGTGCTTCCTGGCTGGGCTGACATTGACCGGGGTGGGACGCGGAAAGGTCTTGCAGCCCGCTGTGTCCCAGGCTACAGTCAGGAGGCCCTGCTACCCTGTCCCAGGACTGGCTCCAGCCCACACCAGAGAGGCCAGTGTCTTGCTCAGGGCCACATAGCCAGCCTGCAGCTTGGGCTGGAACAGAGCCCAACGCTGCCTTGCACAAGCTCTGCGGCCTTGGGCACCTTGCCCACATGCCTTCAGCCCCAGGAAGGGTCAAGTCTGAACTGTGGGTGAGTCTATACTCTGCTGGACACAATGAGATCAGAGCGGCTGCAGAGTGATGCCATCATACACAGACGCCATGTGACCTGCCTAAGCACCGGCAAAGCCAGCAGGGCCTCCCCTGAGCTCAAGAACCAGGAACCTGAGAACCAAGACTAATGGTTTTTCTTAAGGTCGCCGGAGACCCCACTGGAGAAATAAAAGCCACAGCTCCCTGTTGCTCAGTTATAGTGACAGAGGTCAAGCTTCCTTTCCAGGTGGGAAAGTGGGCACCCTTGCCCCCCATTGACCTGAGCCAAGCTCACCCCCCTCAGGATTCAGGCTCCCACTGGGCTGCCCAGGCCCCGCTGGACTCTGCAGGGAGCAAGGCCATCCTGAGTGCCAGCTCTGGACACAGGCAGACCTGGGTTGGACTCTTGACTCCCCAACTCCCTTGTGGTGGGACTTGGGGCCCTTTACTCAAACTCGCTGGTTCAGTTTGACTGTCTGTAAAAAGGGGATGGAGACAATGCAGGAAGGATCAGGAGAGTCATGCTTTGGAAGCCCCTGGCCCAGGGCCTGACACAGTGTCCCCCATACCTGCCATCGCAATGCTGGGTGAATCCTGGGTGTGGAGGAGGGGGGATGGTGAGTGCTAGGCAGACTGCAGGGGGTTGGCCCTGGTACCTGCATCATTGCTCAGGAAGGCCCCTTTGGGAGAGGTAGGGATCCCTTGCCAGACACTAATGGGCTTGGGGTAGCCGGGGTCTCCACGCTGTGTCTCCTCATTGAAGCGCCAGTACCTGTGACCAAAAGCACCGGGTGTGGGTTTTCTTTGGGTGGGGGGGGGTTGGACTGGGGCCTTCTCGCTTTGGGGTAGGGGGTGCTCACCTGTCCTCCTGGAAGAAGAAGGTGTGACCTGTGGGTTCCCACCAGATGGCCGTGTCGATGTGGTCATAGGGGATGCCCAGGCCATAGCTGGTCAGTGGCTGTGGGTAGCCAGGCTCCAGGTTCGCTTCTCGGAAGAGCCAGTAGCGGTCACCTGCAGGAGTGGGGGATGGGCGAGGACAGGCCTGGGGCTGAGGGGGCTGGGTGGGGAGGGGACTCGGGGAATGCGATCCTGGGCCCACAAATCCATTTACATCCATGGCCACACTCACACACACACACACACACTCTCTCTCTCTCTCTTTCTCACCACACATACACACAATCATACCCCTACACATACCCAAGACAACGCACAATGCAACTCACTTGCATGTCACCCGCACTTGGCACTCATGGGCACCTGTGACATACACACATACAAGTCACTCACTCACACCTACACACACCACACAGTCACCCTATACATGGCCTGCATTACCGCGTGAACATCTGCCCGCCCCCATAAATAGTTCTTGTACTGAGAGAGGAAAGAGGGGGAGCCCTGCTTGGCCTCCGGGCCCGGGGGCTTTTAGCATGAGCTGAGGCCGGCAGGGGGCTGGGGACACAGCTAGCCCGTTGGGGGGTACTGCCCTTGAGGCCCTCCCAAGGGGGGTAAGGCCCCTGAGGGAGAGCTGGTGGTAGGGAGCTCCGTTGTCGCTGCTGGCAGAACCCAGAAATCCTGCCCGAGTGGACTTGGGGGATCTGTTCTTACGAGGAGGGGCTGCGGAGGCACAAGAGGCCAGGAAGGAGGGAACTGATGCGGAGCCCCCACTTTGCGGAGGATGGACTCTCACCTCTAATAGGAGCAGCCTCTGGCCCTCAGGGGCTCGGGTGTCTCCTGGTTTCTGTCTACCTCCCCCACCCCTGCCCTGACTTGTCTCCCCCCAAAGTGGACAACAGGATGACACATGCAATGTAGCCCTTTGCTCTCTTCCTCCCTCAGGCCGCTGAGTCAGAGGCCGGGTCAGAGGCCAGGCCAGAGGCCAGGGCAGGAAGGCTGCCCAGGCCTCCCACCTGCCCCAACTTACCTTTAAAGAAGACAAAACGCCCATCTTGGCGCTCGTAGGCAGCACTGATGTCACTGGGCAGACCACGCCAGAAGTGCCCGATGGGCATGGGATAGTTGTCCAGGACACGGTTGTGTCGAACCCGCCAGAACCAGCGGCCCTGGGGAAGGCGTGTGTGTGAGTGGGCAGAGCAAGCCTCCTCCTGGGAGAGGCATCTCCTTGATCCACCCCTTCCCAGGTCAGGGAGATCTGGAGGGGTAGCTCGGAAGGCTAGGGCGGCCCCGGGGAGGGAGCCCTGGGTGGGGCATAGGCCCCTGCAGGTCTGTGTCACCCTGGTCAAGCCCCTTGTCCCTCAGGCTGGTTTCTTCTTGGTCTGGGGTCTGATGGCTCCCCATAGGCTGCTCAGTGAAGGAGGGGTGGGGTTGCCTGGGCAGCCAGGTGGGGAAAGGCCCCAGGGAGTGGGATGTGGGGCTTGCTCTCCTGCTCTGAGACGGGGCCAAGGGGCTAGGGGAGGCATGGGCAGGGACCAGACCTTGAACACGAACATCTCCCCACGCAGCATGGCTACTGTGTCAAAGTCCCCGTCGCAGATGTTGGGGCCATACTGGTCAGGCCGTTCCGTGGCTCGGGGCTGGGCTGGGGGGCCTGGCTTTGGGGGCCGCTCCGGCTTCCCACCTGGGGGTGGGGCCTGGGGGGGCCTGGGGGGCCGATGATCTGGCCGGCCTGGTCGCCGGGGAGTCACGGTGGGGAGAGGCCGGGTGGGCTGTGGCTGGCCATCCGGGGTGCCTGCAGAGTGGGGTGAGGGGAGTGGGAAGTCAGCAGGTAGCGCCAGAACCCAGCCAGGATGCCAGGTTCTCCTACTCAGAACCAGGGGACCCTGGGGCCCCCAGCCCGGAGGGATATTTGCCTCAGTGGTAGGCCTAGCCACGGTGCAAGTCCCTGTTTGTCCATAGCAGACCCCTCCCCCATACCAGCTATCACCCTCAGGACCTCCATCCTCCTCCATAGAGCCCCCTCCTCGACCTCCCCACACTGGACGTGGGTCACTGTGCCCCTGAGGCTGCCCCTGACTCCACGTTCCCTCGGGGACAGTCCCCTCAGGACAGTAGCCTGCTTCAGTGGACCAGGAAGTAGGGACACATGCAGAGGAGAGAACACTGCCCTGTGACCTCTGCCGAGGGCCCATCTCGTTGCCAGGTTGCCGGGGTGTCTGTAAGGGACTGTCTGCCATGTGCCCCGCAAGGGCAGGTACCGCCAGCCCTAACAAGGGGCTCAGTGGGGCACTGGGCACAGGCCCTGACCCACAGTACTGGTCCTCAGGCGACCTTACCACTGGAGGCCTTCTTGGGTGGGGCCTGAGTTGGGGGTACCACCTGCCTCAAAGCCACTGGGCAGTGATAAGCCAACAACACTCACTGGAGAGGCTGGGGTTGGGAGCAAGAGTGGGAGGAACGGGGTCTGGGACCCCAGGGGCATTCCCAGTCTAATAATATTACCACTGACCCCGAGGAGGAAAGGAGGGGTCAGTGAGGGGCTTTGGGGACCCCAGCCTGGAGCCCCCATGAAGGCCCTGGGGGAGGGCCAGGCCCTAGAGTCGGTCAGCCCTGGGTGTGATTTCTAGCCCCATCAGTTACTCACTGAGTGATGTGGACAAGTCACTAATCCTCTCTGGACCTGTTTCCTCATCTACGAAACAGGGTTAGTGGTGCTACCTATGCCTCGTCGGGCTGGGAGTTGAGAGCCGGCGTGCAGAGCTCCCCTAGCCATACGCACGCTGCCCGCTCACCGTAGAGCTGCTGGATGCCCCGGAGGTCGTCCTCGGGCAGCTGGAAGGTGTCGGTGTCCATCCACTGGTAGAACGGCGCCATGATGGCACTGGGGTTGCTAGAGTGCTCCAGCCCTAGCGCATGGCCCAGCTCATGCACTGCCACCAGGAAGAGGCTGTTCCCTGCGGTGGGGGCGGGCAGCACCGTCAGACCTGGCCTAGGACCCGGCCACCACAGGCCCTGTGGGCTGACGCTATCAGAGAGCTGGCCCTTCTGCCAATCTTAGGAGAGGCTGAGCTGCTCTTGACTGCTGGGCCTCAAGCTTCCCCACCTGGGAAATAGGTACGATGATTCCTTCCCTTCCCTACCACCCCTTAGAGATCCTGGGACGATAGACTGAGATGGAGGGTCAGTGCTCCAGAGAAATGCGCAAGGGAAGCTCTCCCCTCCCAACCCTGTAACTGCTGAACCGGCTCAGAGGGCAATGCCCAGGGCTGGCTGTGCCTCCCCTCCCCTGCCCTGGCCAGGTGTCCTCACCATGCAGGTCAGTGCTGGAGAAGGTCCAGGGCTCATCTGCATCGAAATGGGTATCCCCGCCCAGACCAGGGCCAGGGAAATAGGCGTGAGCCAGAAAGCCCCCCGTGCCATCAAATGGTGAGCTGTCGCCGTGGAAACCAGAGGCAAAGAGTACCATGATGTCAGCCTCCTTCTGCCGCCGCAGTCGGATGTCCTCGTAGGGCACCTCCTGGAAGATCAGGGGTGTGGCCTGCTCCCACACGCGGAAGGCCCTTCGCACTGCCTCCAGTGAGTGGTACCATCCCAGCTTCTCTGTGTAGTTCTGGATGCTGCAGGTGGGCAGGGAGACAACGAGTGAACCCAGGGCCTACTGGGTTCCACTGTCCACTGCTATCACCCACTGGGTGGGGGTGAAGACACATGGTCCCAAGAGACATGCCTAAGATCTGAGCTGGTTCACCGACAGTGCCCATCAATACCAACCATTAGTTTATTCTGATGTGAATCTGAGAAGGAGAACTAACACTTCAAACCCGGGAGTTCATGAGGATATCACTAAATAAGGTTGCATGGCGCCCAATTAGCTTAAATAAGAAAACCATGAAGCAAATAAAAGAACAGGTGCTATGTAACTAAGAGAAAGAACTAGACGGTTTGGAGACAAATGGCTGAGGTTTAGGAAATACTGGCCAAGCGGTTCTGATTATTGGACTCTAGGGTCAGGCTGTCCCGAGTTCAAGGCCAGGCTCTGACATGATTTACATGACCTTGGGCAAGCGACTTCGTCTTTCTGTATTTCAGTTTCTGCATCTGTAAAATGGGAAAAGGAGAGTCCTGCTCTCATCTTGGGGAGCTGGGAGGATGACGTGAATGAGCTCATGGAGAACACGGGCCCCGAGTCTGCACGTGATAAAGGCAGGAGGAGGCCTGGTATTAGCCACATAAATCAGATTAAGCTTCTGTGTGCTGGACAGATCTCCTCCATTAAAAGCTGGTTGGGCCATGACTTCGCTCTGGGGGCCTGGGGTCTAAGTGGCCACAGGAGCCGCTCTTCCTCGGGAGATGAGCTGCGGGTGGGGCCATGGCTGGACTAAAACAGGAAGGGGATCCCTTGGGGACTGCCACGTGGCTGGGCGGCAGGGGGGGGATTCTTGCCAAAGGAGGAGGGTGCCTGGACCAGGGTTTTTGCTGGGGACTTGCTGTCTGCCCACTTGACAGATGCCTGGATTCCAACACCTTGCCACCCCCCCACCCCTTAGATGCCTGAAGCCCCGTGTGCCAGGCACTGCGGAGGCCCCCATCTGTGAGGCCAGCCCCCCAGCTGCTGGCGGGTGGGGCGGGGAGCCGGGAGGGAAGGAGGACAGAGCGGAAGCAGCTCCAAGGGTCCTGACCTTCGCTGGGGGAAGACTGCCTAGGATATGCGGCTGATCTTGTCAGCGTGGGAGCGGGTCGGACGGTCTATGCTGGGCACCCTGGGGTGGGCTTCTGGGAAAGGAAGCCTTCCAGACAAGCCCCCTGGGAAGCCTGAGGCCTCGGCCCAGGTGGGGAGGGGAGCAGGCAGTGTCTGGCCGATGCCGTGGGAGGGCTTCTGCCCTGGACAGCCGAGGTCCCTACCTGAAGGTCAGCTGGTAGCTGCTCCACCTCCTCCCCGTGAGGGCATAGCGTCTCCGCCGCCGTCGCAGGTTGGCTTTCACACGCACCCCAAACTGGTCTGGCACCCCGCAGCGGGGTCGCTTCATCCACCTGCATCACGGGCACAGAGCGTTAAGCCCAGACCCTCCCTCCTGATGCCTGCCTGCTTTGGCTCTGCCTCTTCCAGGCAGTCCACCTTCTTCCATCCTTTTGCCTTTGGCCTCGAGTTGCCCTTTGTATGGGTGTCGTGGGGGGTGGGACTCTCTCTGCCCTTCAGTTTCCTCATCAGAGAAACAGGCACGTTGACTCAGACTGGAAGACCGAGTGCCCAGCAGGGGCTCCACGAAGGTGAGCCCCCTTTCACTGGTATCACTCAGGAATGGGAGAGTTACTCCTGAGGCCCTCCGTCCGTGATACGTTATGCTCAGGCCGTGCTCAGGATGCAATTTTGGGTCCCGTCACCTCGGTCAGACTCAGCGCAGCACCAAATGTCCCAGCCAGGGCCCAGGGCCTGCGTGCTGCTTCCCCCCATCCCCCGTGCCTGTGGCAGACATCACTAATCAATCCCGTGCTCCTTGCCGCCCAGCCCGATTCGCCTCAGGAGCTTCCGCGACACAAAGCTTCAGGCCGCCTCTCCCAGCCAGTGAGAACGAGCACAGGGAAGACCCAGCCATCTGCCATTTCTTATCTAAGCCTCTCTGTTCTGGAAACTCCACCTGCCAAACCCCTGTCAGAGCAGGCCAGAAGGAGGGCAGGTGCCACTGGGGCCTGGGAAGGGCCCGACGGAGGGACTCACGCCTTGGTTTCTTCGTCGAGCACGCCCGTGACGGGAATCCCATAGAAGCGCTGCATCTCGGCCAGGGCTGAGGCCAGGATCTGGGCGGAGCGCATGGTGGACATGTGACGGCTCGGCTGGGGCAGGTAGCCATAGAGCCTCAGCCAGTTCTGCAAAGGAGAGGCCACCCCTGCCTCAGCATGACTGGCGCCACTACCTCTGAACACATGCAGCCTGCACCCGACGACCGCCTGCCATGGCCACCATCACCCTGCCAGGGCTGCCACCCCCTCCTGCTGCTGGTGACCGTGTGAGCCTTCGTACTGCTCTCCCCGTGTCCACTCCTGCGGTCTGTTCTCACACAAGAGCCAGAACAAAAGGCCTTTACAAGTCAGGTCTGGTCAATCTGCTTCTGCTTAGAATCCTCCGAAGACTTCCCAGCTCAGAGAAAAAGCCAGTTCTTACAGGAGCTGCCAGGCCCTCCTTACCTGCCCCCGGCCTCAGCCCTCAGCCCTCACTCCTACCCGCCTCCCCGATGGTCACACTCCTGCCTCAGGGCCTTTGCACTTGCTGTTCCTGCTGCCCAAATACTCTCTCTCAGGCATCTGTATGCCTCCCACCCCCATTTTCCTCGGTCTCTGCTTTCACCTCACCTTGTTGGAGGGGTCTTCTCTGACAACACAATGTTAAAAGAAGACCCCCAAGTGCATACTCTGCATTCTCTCTTGTCCTTCCCTGTACTTGTCGTCTAACACATTATATATTTCACTTTGCTGTTTATTGTTTGTCTTCCCCCATTAGGATGGGAACTGTGTCCGTGAGGACAGTCCACAGTAGCTGTCCTTATTATTGTACTGGCCGCTCCAGGGCGGGCCCCCTACCATTCCTGGCAGACTGCTGGGGACCCTGAAGGGTTCAGAACCTCTTGAGGTCTCACCAAGTAGGAAAACCAGCTCCTTGGTGCTGCTCCCCTGCAGACTGTAAGCCTCTCGGAAGAAGAGCAGATGGATTAGGGCAGACCACCCAGGCCCAATAGGGTGGGACAGGAGACCTGAAGTTCAGTCCCTGCTTTGCCACAAACGCTTTGTTCTCACCGGGCCTGAGTTTTCTCAGGGAACAATTGGGCAGCCCTGGGAAAAGTGGCTGGCACACAATGGGGGTGCCGTCCCCTTCCAGAGCTTGCTGGGCAAGTCTCCTCCTCCATCTATCCATCTGTCCATGCATCCACCGCCCCCCCACCTCCTGCCAAGTGTTTCTGTGGCGCCCTCTCCGTGCCAGACGCCGTACCAGCTGGAGGCTGTGGAGGACCGCGGGAGAGGTGTGCTGACCTCCAGGGGCTTCCAGGCTCCCTGGGGAGACCAGGTGTTCCTGCAGAGGGAGGGCTTCACGCCTGCGAGGCTGCGAGCAGACATGACTGTCACAGTCGCAACTGGAGGATGGGATCCCCGATGAGCCAAGCTGAATTGTGCTAAGAATCCATCCTGGCTGTGACAGCATGGTGACAGCCACGCGAGGCTGCTGGTGAGCACAGAGGCCGGGGACTGCTATGGGCTCTGGCCACATGGAAATGTCCTTTGTACCTTTCCTGTTCCACCCTGGGTCTCTGGGGGCCCCCCAGGGTGAGGGCACCTGAGGCCTGCTCTCTGGGAGGCTCTGGAAGGTTAAGGCTGCACATCACAGTCCCATAAGGCAGGGTGATGGCCAGATATGGTGGTTGCCATGGACCAACAGCCCTGTGTCAGCTGGCCAGGGCCACACCCATGTCTGTTTGCCACCAGCGTCACATCCAAGTCCTCAAGGACTTGCTCCCTGAGTGCCACCTGCCAGCCCCCTGGCATGGTTGGGCGGCCCACCCAGCTGGCTCAGCGGTGCCCAGGTGGCCGCTGGAGGGAGTGGCTGCTGAGCGAAAGAGGGTGACATGGACAGGTGCCCGGCCGTAGCTTCCAGGCCTCTCAGGCCCTGGGAAACAGCCATCAGCTCTGGTGACAGAGCTGGGGACAGATTCTGGCCCAGCCACTTCTGAGGTGTGGCTGCATGCCTCCTGTGTTTTAGGCTGTCGTCAGACTAAAGACCGCCAAGTTTTTATTTATTTCCAGGTGCACAAGTTAGTGCTGTTAAAAAAAAAAAAAAATCAAACATCTACTCATTAAGTGCTGTATTTACTGAAAACCATGTCAGGCCGAAAAGGAGGCAGGAGAGGACCCCAGAGCCCTGGCCATTCAGTGGGGAGCTTCTGTCGCCGAGCAGCTCCCCTGCCCTGGGACAGTGGCTGGAGCAGCGGAGCTGGGGCTGCCGGAGGGGTCAGCAGGCCGGCTGGTCCAGGGCACTGCCCTCCAGGAGGCACTGGGGAGGAACTTGCAGAGGTAAAAAAAAGCCCACTTACGGGGTGGGCCAGACCAGGACCTGCCTCATCGCACAGGTTTCTTTCTTTTTTTTTTTTTTTAAGATTTTATTTATTTATTTGACAGAGAGAGACACAGAGAGAGGGAGCACAAGCAGGGGGAGCGGGAGAGGGAGAAGCAGACTTCCCGAGGTACAGGGAGCCCGATGTGGGGCTCGATTCCAGGACCCTGGGATCATGACCTGAGCCGAAGGCAGACGCTTAACGACTGAGCCACCCAGGCGCCCCTCGCACAGCTTTCTGTGAGGATTCAATGGGGGGTCCTCACCATTGCATGGCAATGTGCCGTGTAGGGAAAGGTGCTCAGTAAATGTATTATTAATGACAAAGGCCTGTCTGGTTGTCCCTGGAACGGCAGCCTTTTGCCTCTCCTGAGAGAGTTGAAGGGTTTGGTCTCCCACAGGGCCTTAGCGCCAGCTGGCCTCAGGTGAGGGCAAAGCAGCAGGGGGAGGCCCTGAGGCAGCCCCCCGCCCAACTGACCCTCCATGCCCCTCTGGCCCAGGGCTCCTTCCCTGTTCTTCCCAAGCACGGGAAACCTCTCCTGAGGGTGTGTGTGTATGGGAGGGGCAGGGTGGGAAGTCCACTGCCTGTAATGGGCAGTTTCCCAAAGAAGCCGGGGCAGACACAGAAGGCAAGGCGGAGATGCGAGGCCAGCTCTGACAGTGAGAGGGGGGTGGCGGGAGAGGTGGAGCTGCCTGCTGACAGAGGAGGGCGCCTCTACATCACCTATTTGCATAAGGTAAAAATATCTCAGGGAGCGCAATCACAGGCCACCAAGGGGCTGATTAGTGGTGTCTGCAGTGACAGGGGGAGGCTCAGGCTGGGGCCCTGGGGAGGGAAAGGGAGGGGAGCTGGGCCTGTCTGCAGTAAAGAGCTCCAGAGCCCAGCAGGGCCGATGGGGATGAGAGGCCCTTCACTCCTGGAGGCAGCTCAGGGGTTGCCAGGAAGGTCCCATGGGTGCCTGTGGACCCTCCTTCCCACAGACAAGCACCACTGAGGTCTTAGGGAGGCCAAGAGCTTCCATCTCAGCATCAGCCAAGCCTTGAGCCCTCAGTCTCCTGGTGACCAATGCCCTTGGCCATGGCCAGGATGAGAAGCCAGGCCGGGGAGCAATGGCACGTGAGGGAGGAGAGCAGATACGCGGCCTGGGCCGAGCAGCCGAGCCCCAGAGCAAGGGCGGAGAAGCTGCTGGAGCCTGCCTGACTCTGGCAAACTTGTGCTCAGGGCTGACTGCCAAGTGCCCATGAGTCTACAACACCCGTAGGGCTGTGTGGGCTTTTCCTGTCCCGTGTGTCTGGGAGGATGTTTCTCTCCACCCTACTGCTGGACTGAGTGTGACAAACCCAGAAGGTGAGGACGCGGAGGGAAAAGAGCATGGGATCGGGGTGCACAGGTGTGTGACAGGGGCTGCGTGTACCCCTAAAGTCCCAGCTTGCTGACATGCTCTGCTGCCATGGGCCAAAAGGGGGTCGTGATTCCCAAGGTCATGACCAACCTCCTAGTCTCAAACTTGAGGAGGAGCTCCTGCTCCTATTGGTGACTGTAATGTCTGTCCTTTACAAAAGTAGCCTCCTTTTCTTCCTTGTTACCTAGAGTCCCACAGGTGGGGTAATGCTAAGCAGTGAAAGTTTGTTTCTCAGGTGGGGAAACTGAGGCACAGATGGGTCAGGAAGCAGCAAAGTAGGGAGGAGCTCCTCTATGAGAGCCACTGTCCAGGGGGAGGCAGGGAAGGTTGAAAAGAGCTCTAGGGCCCATGCAGAGAGAACCTACTCACCCGGCTTCTTCCAGCCATTTCTTTCCTGAGCTCTAGGCCCCATCCCATAAGTATGTTTAGATGTGGGGCACCTGGGTGGCTCGGTAGGTTAAGTGGCTGCTTTCAGCTCAGGTCATGATCTCAAGGTCCTGGGATCGAGTCCCGGGCGTCAGGCTCCCTGCTCAGTCGGGAGTCTGCTTCTCCCTCTGCCTCTGCCCCTCCCCCCGCTCATGGTTTCTCTCAAATAGGTAAATAAAATCTAAAAAAAAAAAGAGTATGTATAAATGCTTCAGGTGAGTGGCTAACCCCAGGTAAGGAAACGTGGGGCCATCAGGAGTCTGAGGAGAGATTCCTGGCCCCCCGGCCCCTGGGAGAGGCCATGAACACGGTAGCAGAAGGCTGAGAACCTGCCGCGAGCCGGGCAGTTTACCCTCATCCCATTCAACGCTCACAAGTACCCCGTCCCCATTATACAGACAGTGAGGTTCAGAGAGGGCGAGTGGCCCACCCGGGGTCACACAGCTGTCTGGCTAGAACTGGAGCCTACAAGCAGTGCTCCTGGCCCAGGCCGCTTGTGAAGTAGCACCAGCTCCCGAGGAGCAGAGCCAGCACAGCACGGGGGGAGGGCATCTAGTCCTCCCCACACCCCACCTCTCTGGCTGGGTCTGGGCCCTGGGCCGCGTCAGCAGGGCTGCCCCCCCCGAATTGCTGAGACAATGCCAAGGCAGGCCCACAGGGAGGGTATGTCTGAGAAGGAGCTGCGGATCGATACTGTGCATGAAGCGGCTGTGGGGGGCGGGGGGAGGGGAGCACGCCTGCTGCCACCATAGCCAGCTCCCCAGCTGCTGGCCTCAGAGTGCTGGGGCCGCTCCCACCGCCTTATCGGACCCAGCTCTCGGCAGTCCAAGCACGCCCTGGCAGGGTTGCCGGTCAGGCATGAAAGGCATCTGGTCAGGGCTGCCGGTGACGGACCCGGACCTTCCATGGTGTGAAGTCCCTGTCGTGCTGTCTCCCTT